GAGGGGGATCAGCAGCTCTGGGTCACTGGTTAGTCCCACTAGGATGAATTGTGTCTCTTCTGTCCTGTTATCCATCAATGTGATTAGGGAATTAAGAGATGTCCTGTTAATGAGAAATAAAGGAGAAATTAATTCTAATTTAAAATTCTAATTAGAATTTCTAAGAAATTAGAATTAGAAATTCTAAGAAATTTCTTAGAAATTCTAATGACATTGAAATGTATAAATACCATGCGCATTATTTCATTAATAATTTGTACTTCAAAATGATCCTGATCTAATGTTAAGGGCTTTATATATAAATAAGCATGTGAGAGTATGTGTGTGTGTGTATACAATGGATAGTAGTATTATTTTTATTTTACCATTGAAGGAATTAGGAATTTGAGGAATTATGTGATATTTTACAATGATATCACTAGTATGAAGAAGATTCAAGTTTGAAACCCAGTTTTGACCTGATCAGAATCTTGCACTTTTAACCCCCTCATTGTCAAAATATTTAAAGGTGCCAATAACAATAAGGATGAGATTATGGTGAAAAGGTTAAACTGCAATTTGATTTTGCTCAGTCACTCAGTTCCATTTATAGCTTAAAGAAGAGTCAATTCATGCTTTCTTTTACCTCCAATGAGAGACCATCTGAGAGTGAACAAGATGGAATTACCATGTACTCAAGTACAGCATCAACTATCTTATTTTTTTGAGGGAAGCAGCAGCATATTTTATAAGTATCATTAAACTCCCTACAAATGGAATTTTGAATTTATACTCCAGCTTCAACTTACTATTTTAGAAAAAATATTCAAAACATCAAATCTCTGCTCAAGATGGGGGTATATCAGGGGTAGAGCATTTGACTGCAAATCTCTGGTCAAACAACTCATAGCATGTATAGCTCTCCTACTCCATTTGCATGAATTACACTTTTCACTAATAATGTATATGGAATATAGAGGCTTACCTTGCTCCTTGACGAGAAGGGACAGTCCATCCTCAACAGGGAGTGTGAAATTCATGAGAAATTCATCCAAGAAATAACCCACACATACCGTAGAGAATCTGTTATGTTCAGTAGTGGTCAAAAGTTTCCACGTTCTCCAAGGCTGAAAATAAAATGGATAAAAGCACATTAACAAGGACCCAGGAACTTGGGCTCAGATTCTGAATCTACCACTATTTCTTACTGTGCCCTCAGAGAAGTCTTACTTTCTCCTTATTTGTAAAATAAACATAGTAAAAATACTTCTCCCACATATTTTTACAGAATTGTGTCTGCAAATAGCAAATAAGGGAAGGTCTATAATATAACTCAGTAAGGGTTACCATTTTATTTTATTTTTTATATTTTTATTTATTTCTAAGAGAGAGAGAGAGAGAGAGAGACAGCGTGAGCAGGGGAGGGTCAGAAAGAGAGGGAGACACAGACTCTGAAACAGGCTCCAGGCTCTGGGCTGGCAGTCAGCACAGAGCCCGACGCGGGGCTCGAACCCACAAACCGCGAGATCATGACCTAAGCGAAAGTCGGAGGCTTAACTGACTAAGCCATCCAGGCGCCCCAAGGGGTTACCATTTTAAAGCCACTCAATACAACTTTAGTCTTGAGGTGAGTTCCTTGGCCATGTGTTGCAGGCTGGCAGCAGCTCTTCAGGTAGGGAGAAGGCTTGAGGGCACTGACGGCCCACTGGCATTCAGATGAATGTAGGATGATCACCGAGCCCAGCGTGCAATCTAGTCTCTCTAGAATGATGCTATGTGGACTGTTTTTGCTATTTCGGGGACTGATATAAGGGCACCAAGAATGAGTTATAAAGATATGGGGCTCAGGGGATGCTCCTTCAAGAGCATCTATAGCTCCTCATCCCACCTTCCTACGGAAGAAGCAATTAAACTACCTATTGGGACCTTGCTACATGTATTGAGTGGATGCGCACAGTTGTCATTATTTGTTATTTCTTTTTCCCCCTAAATGTGTGATTTAGCTATTTTCAGCCTACAGTGGGTCATATGGGAACATTCCACACCATCTTTGAAAATTTTCTGTAACTCCAAAATAATTATACATTCAAATAATTAAATTTCAACGGGAAAAACATCCCTATATAGAATAAAGTGAGTCTTGTAATATGCTACACCATCCCACGAGTAGTAGCATGACCATCTCTGTACACTGAAGCAAAAGTTTACAGATATGGAGATGTTGAAGCTGATAATTAGACCGAGACAAAAAATGGAGCCATGAGTGCACATTCCCAGAGGTAGATTCAGTATGGAATGAGGCTCCCTGAGGGGCAAATTAAATGCATATAGTTGTATATTACTTTGGGATTTTGAAAGCAGGTCGTGTTTATTACTGACAGATATTTTCTGGTTTATCTTCTATATGGATTTTTTGAACCATTTCAGTTAGGTGTATAGGCCAGTGTGCACCAAGTAATTTTCCAAATTAAATCCTACAGCAAATTTTATATAATCTCATCTTAATGCATTTCTATAATTTACCAAATAGCATTTATCTTGTGTTTCCTTGATACCTTACAAGCCATTATTTCTGAGCAAAAATTCTAAAATGGGTTGAGGTCACTCAGCTATTGAGATTTCCAGGAAATCATCCCAAAAGTGAGGGCTGCATGCACTGAGTGAGAACACAGATTAAAATATTTCAGCAAAGTGGAAAATAAGCTACAATGCAGGAAATGCTCTAGAAGCATACCTAGACAATTACTACAAAGAATAAACTACAATCCTCAGACTCAAAGACTTAACATCTGGTCCAAATGGACTCAAATTATTTGTTTGTTAGTTAATTGTTTATTAAGAATCTACAATTAATCACATACTCATTTAGGTATTGGTGTTCATGTGGTAAATAAAACAGATAAAGTCGCTGTTCCTATGGAGTTAGATTCTAGTTAGAAGACATAGTTCACAACGCAACCGGCCAATCAATAGACAACAGGTAAGTGTTTATAAGGACGACGAAGAATAATGCAGGGTGAGAAGTTGGTGTATGCAAGAAGGAGATAGAGACAATTTTTTAAAAGTAGGCAGAGAAGGCCTCTGAGATTATGGAGACCCTGAATGAACTAAGGGAAGATTTCTTTCAGAGGGAACAGCAAGTGGAAGACTCTGAGGTGGAAGCATATTTGAGTTGTCCAGAAATAGCAAGGAAATCACCATGAATGAAGTGAGGGAGAAGTCCGGGAGAGGGACAAGAGATGGCCTAACACCACTAAAGTACAAAAAAAAAATGCGAAATAGGGGCACCTGGGTGGCTCAGTTGGTTGAGCGTCCAACTTTGGCCCAGATCATGATCTCGCGGTTTGTGGGTTCAAACCCTGCGTTGGGTTCAGTGCTGACAGCTCAGAGCCTGGAGCCTGTTTTGGATTCTGTGTCTCCCCCTCTTTTTGCCCCTCCTCTGCTCACACTCTGTCTCTCCCTGTCTCAAAAAATAAACATTAAATTTTTTTCAATAAAATGGGAAACATTAACCATTTCAAAGCATTTTTAGACAGAAAAGTGTGCATTCTTGATATTCTCTGTGCATTTTTTTTAAACATTATGAGAGTTTGAGGTTACATGTGAATAACGGAAAATGCTTTTATTTTCCTCCATTTTTTGTATTCTAGACCTTTTGTTCTTTTAAAAAGTGTAATGTAAATATGTTGATTCTACAAAATGACTCAGTCCAGACAAAAATATAACTCGATTTTTTAAAAAATTTTTAACATTTTTATTTATTTTTGAGAGACAGAGTGCTAGCAGAGGAGGGTCAGAGAGAGAGGGAGACAGAATCCGAGGCGAACTGCAGACTCTGAGCTGTCAGCACAGAACCCAACGTGGGGCTCGAACCCACCAACTGTGAGATCATGACCTGAGCTGAAGTCAGACACGTAACCAACTGAGTCAACCAGGTGCCCCAATATAACTCCATTTAAATGCAACATTAATGTGTCTTTCAATAAAATGTGCCAACAAAGCAAATACTTTTTAAAAAAATATTTTTATTTATTTCTTGGAGACAGAGAGAGAGACAGCGTGAGCAGGGGAGGGTCAGAGAGAGAGGGAGACACAGGCTCTGAAATAGGCTCCAGGCTCTGAACTTGCAGTCAGCACAGAGCCCTACGCTGGGCTCGAACCCACGAACCGCGAGATCTTGACCTAAGCGAAAGTCGGATGCTTAACCGACTAAGCCACCCAGGCGCCCCCAAAACAAATACTTTTATTTAGATTTCCATAACTTTTTCTTCAGTAAAGATTTTACAACAGACATTCAGCAAAAGAAACAAATATTATTAGCCACAAACTCATATTCTACCTGCTAAATGATTTTTTTTATTATTTTATTTTTTTTTAATGTTTTATTTATTTTTAGGAGAGAGAGAGAGACAGCGTGAGCAGGGGAGGGTCAGAGAGAGAGGGAGTCACAGACTGAAACAGGCTCCAGGCTCTGAACTGGCAGTCAGCACAGAGCCCGACGCGGGGCTTGAACCCACGAACCGTGAGATCATGACCTTAGCTTAAGTCTGATGCTTAACCGACTAAGCCACCCAGGCGCCCCCCTGCTAAATGATTTTAAAATCATTTCATTAAAAACTGCTTACACTTTGTTTACCTCTGACAAATTTACCATCACTGTGTGTATATGTCCTCATATTCGTAAAGGATGCATGTGTGAGCCTCTGCTCACATGCTTGTTTTTCCCACTGATTTACATGTATGTTTGCACTGACACATGGTAGAAAAAATGCATGTGGAACAAGTGAATAAAACAAATGCCATTAGTAAGTTTTTGTGAAGAAGGACCCCTGGTTTTTTATGGCTTCCCTTGAAACATACTAGTTCAAATATTAACGTTTAGACACACTTTATTTTTACAAGACAGCAGATTTTTCAGGCATTCTGGACATAACTTGAGGAATTAAATGCAGTGCAAGGCTTAAAATACCAATGGGAGAAACTGAGAGAAAGGAAACTAGATAATTCTGTATAATATAATATTAAAATCCCAGTACCAGAGATGATTTTGCTTTTTCCAATACTTTCCTGAAAGCATTCTTGACCTCTTGGTTCCTCAGGCTGTAGACCACAGGATTCAGCATGGGGATGACCATGGTGTAGAACACGGATGCCATTTTGTCTGTGTCCATGGAATGGCTGGAGCTGGGCTGTAAGTACATGAAGATGATTGTCCCATAGAAGACGGAGATAGCAGAGAGGTGAGAAGCGCAGGTGGACAAAGCCTTTTGGTGCCCCTGAGCTGACTGCATCTTCAAGATGGTTATAAATATGAATAGGTAGGATATGATTATAACAAGAAGAGCAAAAAAGACATTAAAGCTTGACACATACACAAGAATCACCTCACTAATGTGTTTATCAGAGCAAGAGAGAGCCATGACCGCTGGAATCTCACAGAAAAAGTGATGGACCACATTGGACTTACAGAAAGAAAGACTGAACGTGTTTCCAACATGAATGGACGCATTCAGGAAACCACAGATGTAGCAACCTATGGCCAGACGAGCACACACACTCATTGTCATGGCGGTGGTGTAATGGAGGGGCTTGCACACCGCTGCATAGCGGTCATAGGCCATTGAGGATAAGAGATAACTTTCCACAGTTGCAAAGGCTGCAAAAAAGAACATTTGAGCAGCACATGCATTGTAGGAGATGACCTGGTCTCCTATCAGCAATCCAGCCATGACCTTGGGAGTGACAGCTGTAGAGTAACCACAGTCCACCAGAGACAGGTTACTGAGGAAAAAGTACATGGGAGAGTGGAGACGGGAGTCCAGTAGGATCATTATGATCATCCCCAGGTTCCCCAGAACACTGATGACGTAAATGAGGGTGAACACAATAAAAAGTGGAATCTGAAGTTCCGGAGTATTGGTCAGACCCATCAGGATGAAATCCATCACTTCTGTATTATTCTCCATGGGAAGTACTAAATTCTTTGTGGTAATGAGAAAGAAAGGAACATTTGGTAAACAGAAAGTAGATGGCACTGACATACATTTATTTATTTATTTATTTATTTATTTATTTATTTATTAAGTTTATTCATTTAATTGAGAAGAGACAGAGACAGCACAAGCAGGGAAAGGGGCAGAGAGACAAGGAGAGAGAATCTCACGCAGGCTCCAAGCTGCCAGCACAGAGCCCTACTCAGGGCTCACACTCACAAAACTGTGAGAGCATGACACACAGCCTAAACTGAGTCAGATGCTTAACCAACTGAGCCACCCAGGCGCTGCTGCTGTGAAATTTAAATATATAAATACCCCGTTTATATCCCCATTTAATTGGCAAGAATTCATTCTTCATGATTCTCTTATATGAAGCATAGATTTGAACAAAAAACTTAGTACTTAGAGAAATGATCTATATGGTTCATCCTGTTGAAGCCAAAGGATCCTTACAGGTTACATAGCCAACTTCTTTTTTTTAATTTTTAAAAAATGTTTTATTTATTTCTGAGAGAGAGATAGTGTGAGCAGGGGAGGGTCAGAGGGAGAGAGAAAGACACAGAATCTGAAGCAGGCTCCAGGCTCTGAGCTAGCTGTCAGCATGGAGCCCAACGCGGGGCTTGAATCCACGAACTGTGAGATCATGACCTGAGCTGAAGTCGGATGCTTAACCAACTGAGCCACCCAGGCGCCCCAACATAGCCAACTTCTTACTTGTGCAAATGCACAAAGAGAGGTGCAGAAAGAGGTTATGATTTATCCAAGGTCATATGTTTGCTGTACATATGTTTCCTAAATCAGATTTCCTGAGTTTATTGACAGCTTACATTTATACAGTGCTCATATCAAGTACACACTTATGTTTAATATGTTTAAATATGCTTGGAAACCAATTTGATAATAAATTATATTAAATAAATCAATATGCTTAATACTCTCAACAAACCCACAAATGATTGTTTGTGCAAGTCTACGTCAGTATCAACCAATAGAGTCAATCCTTGGACCCAGGGAAAGTGATTTCCTAAACCTATGCTCTTTAAAAATTTTTTAAAAAATGTTTATTTGTTTTTGAGAGAGAGAGAGAGAGAGAGAGCATCATCAGGAAAGGGTCAAAGAGAGAGAAGGAGACACAGAATTTGAAGCAGGCTCCAGGCCCCAGCTGTCAGCAAAGAGCCCGACACAGGGCTTCAACTCACGAACGGTGAGATCAGGACCTGAGCTGAAGTCAGATGCTTAACAGACTGAGCCACCCAGGTGCTTCTCCTAAACCCATGCTTTTAACTGAAGTTTAATTGAATTTATTTTAACTGAGTTCATATTTATTCATTGTGTCCATTGGGCCAAACTCAACACTTGTAGGTGTACAGTGGAATAGCTATGTATATACAAACTAGATGTAATGAGATAACAGCACAACAGCAGTAGAGGCATGTACAACCAGGAAGTCCAGTTCAATTCCATTCTGAAGAAGATATGGCATTGGGTATTAGAGCCTGGGCTCTGAGAGGACATTCATAAGCATTCAAATAGCAGCCCTATCGTTTTCAACCAAGGAGACGTTGGTCCTAACATAACTTCTGTGAGCCTCATTTTCTTTATAAAATGAAGATGGTGGGGCACCTGGGTGGCTCAATTGGTTAAGCCTCAGACCCTTGATCTCAGCTCAGGTCTTGATCTCAGGGTGGTGAGTTCAAGCCACACTGGGAGTGGAGCCTATTTTAAAAAAATGAAGATGGTAATGGATTGATTCAAAAGGGATTATTATAAAAATATAAAAAAGTAATTCATTTTTAAAAAGCACAATGTGAGCATTCAGCACAATTCTGATGAATTACTACATTATTATTATGATGGGTTGATGGTCTCCATCTTGGTTTAGGAAAGGCGGGGGTGAAATGCAGGGCTTCAAGATGTGGAGGCAGTGTGAAGCCTGGCAGGCTCCATCCTCTAGTGCCGTCACAGAGATGGAAAGTTGAAAGTCATGGGCCAGGAGTTTCACTCTAGCCTCCAGATCTCTTATGTGGTAAGCTCCATGGTTTTGGTTTTTAATTTATAATTTGAATTTGGAGCTCTGGTAACTACTTTTCTGTACCTCCTCTCTACCTTCTATTTCCTCCTGACCATTTTGCAACTTCACTTTACGTTCCTGTCCCTAAAGGCATTTGTGTTTATAAATTTCTGACATACATGATAATATAAACCACAACTTTGAAAGCAAATAGAATGTGCTGCATTCTATGATCACTAATAAGAGAATGACATATTCAGATACAGATAATTTTCCCTTTAATCTTCATAACACCATTAGAAGTCAGTCAGCACTATTATCACTATTTTCAGATAAGAAAACAGGATTTGAAAAGTCACCTCCTAAAATTACATGTCTCATAGAAAGCAGGTTCGAGATTCAAATCTATGACTGATTTTACATCCTATGCACTGAATGACTGCTCTGTGGACTTTTCTAGATGTCTTGAAAAGGGTGATCTTTTGGGGTAAAGAATATTGAAGTGGAGTACAGATCTAAATAATCTCACAAGGATCCTTCTGGAATGTAAAGAACTGTAAAATCAAACTTGACTTGTGAGCCTCCCCTACAATGACAGGAAAAGATAGTAAAGAGGAGCAATTTACCACTCGCTCAATCAAAGCATCATCCATCTTCTCTCTTTGCCCATCATATTTAAGAACATAACAGCATTTCATAAGTGCCACTGAACTTCCTATTAACGGAAGTGTTTTTTAATTGGACATAAAGTCCCAACTGTTTCAGAAAAGATGTTCATGGCATTCTATCTTGAGCTCAAATAACTCATAACATCAGTTTCACTACTAGTCTTACATGTATTACACTTCTCACTAAAAATGTGTGTGGAATACAAAACGTTACTTACCCGGCCCTTGAAAACAGAAGATGGAAATCCTGAAGTTTTAGTCATTGATCTGAAACTCTGTCGGGGAAGAATATAGCGATCCCGTTGGAGAAGCTCCCTCCCAGAAGCTAATTGAAAGGAGCCCTTAGAGTTGCTCCTTACCTGATGTCAAACTTAGTTTCTTTATTTGTGAAATAAACAGAATGTTATTAACACATGGGCATAATTAGCAGACTGTGGCTGTTAATAGCAAATACTAATGCTATAAAACAACTCAGTAAAGGGTTATCATTTGGACTGCATTCAATACAATTTTCATCCTGGGAGTTTTCCAGACACTGGTTGTAGACTCACAGAAAATCCACAATTTGAGGGAAGGCCAGCATGTGTACAAATAACCATTCACATTCACACAAGTAAATAAATTACCCAAATGGCTCGGTATATAGTCTGTTCCTTTCAAAATGATGTCAGACAGAAGAGCTACATTGGGATTCTGAAAGATAATAATGAATAAGAACCAGAGACCTGGAGATCTCAGGGGAGCAGGCCCTTGGAAAGGCAGCTCTAGGTTCTTCTCCTACTACTTAAGGGAGAGACAATTAATCCATCTGTGAAGACCTAGCTTAGTGTGTTGAGTGAACACGCAGATATATTTACATTATTTTTTTTTTGCCATTTCTTCCTCCTTTTCAGTTTAGGCATAATTTATTTACAGAAAAATTCATGCATTTTAGTGTATAGTCCTGAGTTTGGATAAGTGTCTATATTCATGAATGACCAACACAATCAAAATAAAGAAAAGTTCCATCTGTCCCAAAAAGTCCCTGTGTTCCTTTGTAGTGAAACCATCCTGCCACCCTCAGATTCTGGAACTGATTTTGTTCTTGCGACTTTTCCTCTGGACAAAATGTCATATAAATGAGGTCATACACTATCTAATTTGTTGAGTCTGGCTTGTTTCATTCAGCATAATGTGTATGTGAGATTCATCCATTTCTTGCATGTATCAGTAGTTTGTTCCTTTTTATTGTCAAGTAGTATTCTACCATGTGGATCTAACCACAGTGTTTATTTCTAGATTGTATTGATTGCAGTTACATCGGCTATAAACATTTGAATACAGAACTACTGTATGAACATAGGTTTGAGTAAATACCTTGAAGTGAGATTGTTAGCAAATATGGTAAGTTTATGTTTAACCTTATAAGACACTGCCAACAATTTTTTAAGTTTATTTTTATTTTTAGGAGAGAGAGAAAGAGAGAGATGGAGGGAGAGTGCACAAATGGGGGAAGGGCAGATAGAGAGACACACACACAGAATCCAAAGCAGGCTCCAGGCTCTGAGCTGTCAGCACAGAGTCCAGCACAGGGTTCGAGCCCATAAACCATGAGATCATGACCTCAGCAGAAGTCAGATGCTGAATCAACTGAGTCACTTGGGTGCCTAGCCAAACAATTTTTTCTTTTTTTTAGTAATGCACCATTTTGTATTTCCATTGGTAGTCCACGATAATCTCAATGTCCTCATATCATTGCCAAACCTTAGTACTGTCTATCCCAGGGTAGAGTATTCCTGACAGAACGAAAAGCCTGAGTGAAAATGCTAAGGCTGCAAGTTATATTGCTTAAGGAGTAAGAGAAGTCCATTAGCCCCACAACAGCATTTGGGAGAACTATTCCAGAAGAGCAAATCACAGCTGCCAAGAGCTGTGAGACGGTTTGGGGAAAAGAAGGGACAAGTCAAACAATTAAAAAGTGAAAGTTAGGAATTGATACAACCATGCAGGCTTTGAGAAGCTCTGACATATTCCTGGGTATGCACGTTTTCAAGACTATATAATACGCAGGTAAAAACAGATGATGCCAGTTACTTATTCCAGATGATCTTATGGTTTCCCATCAAGAAGAAAGCAAATACCAGGGCAGATTTGTCAACTGCCCAAACTTTGAATATATTCCCCCAACCATCCACAGAACCTCCCATCAAAATGCGTCTAAGGAAAACTTCCAGCACATCATTCACTGACCACTGATACAGTGGCTACCATTAAGAGCACAGGCTTACAAATAAGAACAGGATTTAAAAAGACTG